CTCTCCAGGTCTGAAGAAGTCCCAGTCAGAGGCAGATGTAATGAAGAAACAGATGGAGGGCCTCGCCAGGGAGTATGACAGGCTGTTGAAAGAACACCAGGAGCTCCAGGTAATGCTGAGCTCTGAACACAGCAGGGTGATGATTTGCTGGGTCGTTCACTAGCTAGATGTAACAATTCAAAGTGACATTCAAGACAATTAACATCAGGCAGGCAGCCTCAGATCAGCAGTGTGGTTCCTCCATATTTCGTGATCAAAGAAGCCATCAATTTATCGTTTAAGCTTAGGCCTCGAGTATGTTTTGTTGAAACATTTAAAGCACAAATCACTAGTGAAAGACTGCAAATTCTGTTCACTTTCAGGTTTTCATCCATTTCTTTAACAACTAACAGACACTTTGAACCTTTATGGAGTGTGGAATTGTATAATACAGTGTAATATTTTAACTGATATTTTCATTTTCTCTCCTTTCAGAATCTGCGAGACAGTGGAAATAAAAAGGAAGATTAGATGAAAAGTTAAAGGTTAAAGTGTTTACTTAGCTCAGTCACAGACAATTGCACCACATGCTTGACCATCTGTAACACCGTGTGTCATACTATTTAATTACAAATTAAAGACTGGCTCATCTGAGGAACATGCTTTCGGCTGGTAGCAGCAATGGTTTCAAAAGTCTTAAACCTTTATTAGAGCACGAGACTGGCTTAAATGGAATGAGTAATATCTGTTTCTGCCTGGTGCAGCCTGACTAAGAGGATTTTCTTTTTCAAGGGTGCGCTATCGGGCAGATTAATTGTGCAAAGCAATTGGAGTTCAGTTAGTAAGTGACTCAGGACTGATCACAGAGCACCTAATATATCAAATATCAAACAAAATGAGTGTTTTCTGTCTCATTTGTTTTTGCCACTTTGCACAAGATATGGGGAAAGTTGAGTCGATCTATAAATGTGGTAAATGGTTACAAAAGTATTTTTATGCTAAAGGTTTTCTCTTGTTTTTGTGCAGCCACTTGCAGCTTAACTTTAGTATGCAAATACAGACTGCATGTACAGTTGCACTGAGATAAATGAGCTTCACTTTTGTTTTGCGGTGTTTCAGCCGATGTGCCAGATGTTTTTACCTGTACAGCTGTAATGGATAACAGTAGGTAGAGGTTTTAGCCAGTATCTGTTTGTTTTTTGTTTTTGTGTCTGTGTTTAGTTTTTTTATTTCCTTTTATTTGAAGTTGTAAAAAGATCTGGCACATAAAGTAAAACTTTTTTTTTTTTTTTTAAGTCCTAGTTAGGTTTTTGCCTGGATGTTCTTCACATGCTCAGTTTTGTGTTAAGGTGCACAGTTTGCTGGGATTCATATTTTATGTCACAAAAAAAGATTGTCTTTGTTTTGTTATATATATATATTTTTTGTGTATCTTTTAATTATCCAAACAAAACAAATCCATGTCACTGTGAAACAGGACCTGCGATTGTCATCACCACATATTTAAACGTTTGCTTTTTATTAGTGATTTACCATTGTTCATTTTCCCGGTAATATAAATACATGTTCATGTTGCGCTCTGCTGTTTGGACGTAAAAATCAGATTTAAGTGCCTTTCCAGTGGATGTAGAAAGCAGAATTTTCTTTAATAAAGGTTATTTTTTCCTGCGCTTTGTTTTGACTTCTTAACACAAACTCTGTTAATCATTTATCTGAATTTCAGGAGCAGGACCACACTTCCCTTCTGGTCCGTGTGCCTCCTGCACTACAACCATTTTTTTTTTTTTTTCATTTTCCCAGCTAATGAAACAAATCACAAAAAACCCATAATGTGATTGGGTATTAAAATTCTTTATTTTAATATTTCATTTAAGATATTCCTTGAAATTTTACAAAAATAATCCAAGAAAATTATTTACATTCTGATTTCTTTAATGCAAGCAAAGACCTTACATTATTGAGATAATGACTTTCTTTCTCTACACCGTTCTGAGTTTGTCAGCCTGAAACTGAACCTGAAGATGACACAGTCACCTCATGCTGCAACTTACCCAAATAGTACGTGTGTTGTGGGTCCACGGCTCCTTTGAAAAACGTGAATTCATGACCTTGAAATAAAACTGGTGACTGCAAAATTATATTGAATGCCTTTTTTGAGTCACACTGAACATTCTGTTACTGGAACAATATCACTTCACCCTGATATCTAAAAATAAAAAAATGGGACTGACTAAATCTGATTTGGCACTTGAGTGGAAAGTTGCAGGAAACTTCAGAATATTCCTAACAGCAGTGCAATGCAAGAAATCCTCCTTCAATCCACACGCTGTTTTTAAAGGACGCAGTTTAACATGTTTTTAAAACCCAATTTTGCCTAATTTCATCCATCCACAAATCAAGCAAATACTTTCAGTTAAGGTCCCCTAAGCTACCAAACCAGAAGCCATATTTAGATTACAGGTTCTCATCAGCGATGAGATGCTGATAGCCCACAGCAGAACAGCAATACAAAAGCTACATGGTAAATAGTGTTCATTTTCAATAGAGTTTATGCTACTATAAATATTATCTATAAATATTATAAACTATGAAACCAGCATATTACTTAAAACACACAGCTCCCGTTGAAAGTGACAAATACCACAACATGTGATGTTGAGGCAAGTTTTTGTCACTTGTAATAACAGGTCAGATGATGCTTTTTGTCATGAAAATATACAATCATGTAGGGACATATGTGTATAAATATATATTTGTATTTATGTATTTTATTTGTGTGTGTGTGTGTTGGGGGGCAGGGGGAGGGGTTTGCATTATCAATACTTCTGAATACACTTTAGTGTCAGTGGTAGGATGCACCCTAAACTTTATCATTTGCTGAAAGTAGAGAACTACAGACTCGAAAATAATCTCACATCAAACAGTCTCTATGGGCTTGAACTGAAACTGTCTGATCCACTTACTGCTGTTGCAACTGTCCGAAGAAAATAACACTCCGGGAAAGTGTGTCTGTATTAAAAAGTCTGTCAAATCCTTTACCACGTTTTGAATTTTAAACTGGGCTAATTTAGTCTTTCTGCTGATGTACATATTAAGGGCGTCTGGTATTACACAAATGGGTGGTCGAAGGAAACTGTTTTCTGAATCATAGAGATTGGCAGCAGTGTACACTCGTACACTGCTGCACTAAAGAAAAGTGTTGCGATGAGTCTCAATAATCGGTACTCGACTTTCAACCATATCAATACTTTGGGCATGAATTTGAATGCATTCCAGAGATCACGACTTCATCAGTCATTGCAAAACATCACATCAGAGCAGCTAGTGTACCCTCAGATAATTTCATCAGATCCCTGAACAGAGCTCTAGTTTAAGCAGTCAGATATCTGATCATTTGCTCTCAATGAAAGAAAATGCTAAAAAAAAAAAAAATGTCCAGGATTTCAGTGACAGACTGGGATAAAAAGAGTTCTTTAAAAAAAAAGTTGTATAAAATTTAAAAAATGCTACATACTCGATTCATACAACTGAGAAATCACTGTCAGATTTTACAAAAATGGGGTTAATGTTTAAGAAAGGGGAGATAAAATTGTGACATTGGCATAAAGACACACATAAAGAATACAAAGGTAGAAACACCAACCAGTGAAACGCATGACGATGGAAACAGAACTTTTACATATCAGCAACAACAATCACACACAGTGTTTTCTTCTTCTTCTCCTTTTTTTTTTTACAGTAAGTACTTTATCAGTGTTGCAACAATACAATCTCTGCCTTATCCAAGGCACGACAACGGTTATTTACAGTTTTTTCTGAATGCTTAAACCCTAACTGTGATTCCTGTAGCACAATCTCTAAAACTATTCAGACTTATAGCAAAACCACTCACTGAGTTTGCAAAAGTAAAAGCACAAAAACTGCTTTGCACTCAGTTTGCAATTTTGTAACACACACTTTGCAAAACTGTAGGCACAATTCACTGCACAACACTCAATTACCAAATTTCCAACACACTCCTAGCAAAAGTATACACATGTATGGCTATCATTAACACTAATTTGCCAACTGTCTGGCACACTTTCACATGTGAAAACTTTTTTAGATAATTCGTTCACTTTGCAATCAGCCTAAGCACTATAATACAGGTAAGCTGTGTGTGCGGAGTACAATGGAGGGAGCAGAAAGAGTGAGAAGTAGAGGAGGCCGAGGAAGAGGACGTGGAGGTGAAGAAGTAGGATGAAGAGGACGACAAGGACAAGGAGGAGCAAGAGGAAGACGAGGAGGGGGGAGAGGAAGATGAGGAGGGGGGAGAGGAAGGGTAGGAAGAGTAAGAAATAGAATTGCTGATGACATCAGAGCTACAATAGTGGACCATGTCATCAACCGTGGAATGACCCTGAGGGTAGCTGGCCAACGGGTCCAGCCTAACTCGAGCCGCTACACTGTAGCAAGTACCATAAGGACATCTTGAAATGAGAATCGGTTAGTACAGTCACTTCGCACAAAGATTTGTAGCACTGCCATATGCCAATGAGAAACACACCATTACCATTGATGTGAAAATACTGAAATTGTTACTTTACAGAATTGCTAGATGACCAGATGCTGGGGCAGAGGAAGCATGTTCACTGCAGACCAAGTAACCCATATAGTCATTATGGCGATTGCAAATAATCCTATACTTGGAAATAAACACTTGTGTTTGTTTTGATGTGTTTGAATAAACACCAGTACTTGAAGTTTGGATCCCTCTATGCTTATGGATCTATGACAGAAGTATGAGCTCAAACTGACATAGCCTACCTTGTGCACAGAGAAAGCAAAAGCCAGATGTGTTTTGTATTCATACCATCAGTGTGCAGTTGGCGCATTGTGTGCTTAGTAGATGATGGCTTGTGTGTACTGTTTGATACGGAAACACCATTTTTACGAAGGTGTGAAGAGTTAATCCAGCTGTGTTTGCTTTTGCAAGAGAACTACAATGTTTTGATGATTGGGTGACAGGTTTTCTTATTTGTGTGAAGAGTTTTGCAAAATTAGCCAATAGTTACAAAAAATGTGCTTAAGCAATCAGAAAAAACTGTAATACCAGAGCCTGGGGAGCCCAACTGAGAAGTGTAAGATGCAAATTTGATCTGATACCAGCTATTAACAGCTTTAGTCAGTTGTGTGTGTGAAACTAAAACATTTGCACCACTCAGAGGTAAGTGTCATGGCTCTAGAATTTGACAAAAGCAGAGCTGTTTGCTGAAGCAGATTTCACTAAAATACAATTCCCATTTCTAGTGATTATGAATATCAACGGACCCAAAGTTCATATCCAGAAAGCACAAAAACAACAAACTGCTATACACTCACAACTTTGGGCTTTTAAGTAAAAAGCAAAAATCAATTGTTTTTTCCTAAACGAGTAAAGAGCCGATGATCTGAAATTTAAAAGTAAAATGAAATTGTTTTTTAAAGATCTCTGAAACACACATTAAGAGGTAACAGTTGAGTGAATGAGGCACATACCGAAACATCATATCAATATCCTCCAAGTGTTACTGAAACGAGCAATTCTACAACTCACTTAAAGGAGAAAAAAATATCTCAGGTCTCTAAAGGCCAGATTTTTCTTTTTAGGACATATCAGTTTGCTGTTGTGCCTCTGGTTTATAAGGCCACTTTACCTCTTCAGTTCTGTAACACTACTGTCAGCTGGAATAACTTTGAAAGAAAGATCTTAAAGAGGCAGCTTTTGAAATGCTGGTGTTTAAAATAGTACTGTTTTGCAGTAGTCTGTACAAGTCACATTTCCTAACTGATATTTTCTTCAACTCAAAAATATCGTGTTTGTATTTTTTTTTTCTTAAAAGGAAAAACAGCATGTACATTCAAGAAATATTTCAGCCATATCAAATTTCTGTCAGATTTACAAAGCCTTTACACATCCAGCAGTACAAATATAGAATTTCTGTTTTACATGAGATGACTGGACAACAAGTGATTCCCTGCAAATCTTGTTTTCATGTGAGCGAGCGTGCATGTGAGCGAGCGTGCATGTGTGCAGCGGCGCTCTGGACATACTGTGGGTATATATGCGGCCGTCAGCTCTGCTGGCTCTGTCAAAGTCGTGTCTGCCTATCTGTGCTGTTCTCTGATGGGTGGTGTGGCTGGTCAGAATTAGAAATAACCAACTCTTCCTTCCTGAGCACCTCCAGTTCGGTTCCACCGTTCCTCAGAGCTCCGTGGATGGCGCTTCGTTCCTCCTCCTTCAGCTGTCGACTGAGCAGGATGAAGCCCGGGATGCAAATAATAAAGGAGATAGTCCGTAGGCTCAGAGTCAGGCCCAGGTATGCTATTCTGAGAGGCACGAAAAAGATTGATTTGATGAAAATTAGCAAAATTTGGCAAGACATCAGACAAGAGTTGGTTATTAATGCTGCAATAGATTCCCTATGTTGAGTTGTACCAGAAAATTGAGCTAGGGTAATGGGATAATATTTATTAATGTTTAATAATCATAATTTGGAAGCTATAAACAGGAATTATAATGTCTCACGTAGAGCTTCCAGGGGTTACAGAAAAACTAGAAAAAAAGAAGTAGGGTAGGCAAGAGGTTACTGCTAATTCAGTTCAAACTCAATGAAAGTATTTCCAGTAAAGCATCAGCAAATAAATGAGATTAAGTCTGGTCTACAGAAGGTCACACTTAAGGCTGCATTATGTTGAATGTTTGGACTAATTAAAAAAAGGGATTCACAAACGACTGAATAGTACATGTGTAAGTACAACCTGTAGGCGGTGGTGTTGTAGATTCGACAGGCTCCTATGCCCCCACACCTTTTCTGACCCCATTTTAGACATGTGGTGTCAATGATGGCTCCAAAGTAAATGGGTGCTGGGATCCCTGCTGTAAGACAAAGGAAACAAAGTCTTTTCACAGTCACGTCTCCTAAAAATGAAACAACAGGTAACAGCGAACACTATTTTGAAAAATCTGAACAAACATTTTATGACTAATCTTGGACAAACAAAGCAAAGGTTTTCAGGAAGAGTTAAACCAAGATCAAATCCCAGAACATTCCCGACTACCGAACAGGTCTTACCAAGGGTCCGTGTTGCCAGTGCGTGGAAACCCAGGGCCAAAGATTTCAGCTGTGGCTTGATGCACCTGCATAAATAAAATAAAATAAATAAATAGAACATGGTTACTATCATTTAAATCAGTTTCTATTGTTACTGGACAAAAAAAAAAAAGCCTATTAGGTAACACCAGAAGTAATGCCACTGTTACTCAAGCGAGTGTAAATGTAAATACAAAATGTAAACCATAGCTGTTCCACTTAAACAACAAAATATATGACATTTGATAAACCTGTTAAGAAGAACTTTTACCATTCCTATGGAAACTAAACCGTCTTTCTGATCTCTGAAAATGAACAGAGGAATAATAAGATGACTATTCACGCACAGCGCAAAGTCACTACATTCCTGCCAGGCCACTGGAATCCAACAGGATCAGTTGACATGGCTTTAAGAGGTCCTACGTTTGTGTGTTAAGTGTGTGCTTATGTGCTCACATATAGGAGGGTGTAATTCCCTTAGCATAAATCTCTTTACTTGAAAAACACACCCGAGTTGGATTTATAGGGAGAACAAAGCAGAAAATAAATGATTAGCACATGCATGTGTCACAGCATGTCACTGTAAAGTCCACAGTTAACCACCAGAGGCCGCTGTGTGGCAGAAAATTTGAAGCCTGGTTGATGACACATGATTTTGGGTTTGTATACCACCTTTACCTCTGGTAAAATCCTGAAGATGTGCGAGATGTTTCTGTACAACATTGATGCTGTTTTTGTGTACACAAATAAGACTGGTTGTGTGTCAGTGTATTGGATCCAGGAGTGGAAATGCTTCTATGATAAGACTTAGAAGATTACTTGTATCATCAAGCGGGCTCTCCGAGTGAACGGCCCTACAGCTATCCCACAGGCATGTGAACAACTTTCAGGAAAGACTGAACACAGAACAGCCTAAAATGCATTTTTGGCTTCAGATGGCAGGATTAACTATATAACAGGTACAAGGGAGCTGCTATAAAGCGTAGTCTTGGATTATTACATTTATTTTACTGTTACATGTCTACTTGACACTCAAGAGTTATTGTCATAAATCAAATAAATCAGTTTATTATCAGCAGGTCAAAATGTTCACCTGTCACTTTCTAAGTAATGTGATTGTGGAAACTGATGTCTACTGACACTGGTAATTACCAGTGTGCTAAGGAGCATATCATAGTTTTCAATGATACGTGTGCTTCCACACATTGAGATCAGACATGTCAACAAGGTAACAGTATCTGTTTTAGACTTTCCAGTGTCACTGAAATCATTTGTGACTAGCAGAGCAAAGATTTGCCCTCACCGTCATTCTCAACTAACCACTAGAACAAATGTTGGGTTTTTTTTAAATATTAATTTGACAAAGTCCCTTTTTTATAAGTTTGGCAGACAAACAAATCCACAAACAAGTATGCAGCCACTGCTAATAACAGGAAGTTTATACAAGGCTTTATGAAAACAAGCTCCAAAGTTTGCAGTAGTGAAACAAGCAGGTATAAAATTGTGTAAGAGTCAATGGTAACTACAACAAATGACATTAAGCATTTAGGACTGACTCAACTACTACAGGAGTAGTAGTACAGTACAGGGCTTGTTCTAAAGAGTCCAAATTATATGATATGCCCTTCATATGCAAAACATGCACATGCAACAGGTACAGCATTAGGTCTTTTCAGATGGACTGTGTGGGCATCTCTGTGTAGCTTAATGTATCAAGCCTCATCTATAGTCTAACTCAGGGATGTCAAACATAAGGCGGCCTGGCAAAGACTCGAATCCAGTCCATCGGATAGATTTGGAAAATGTGCATGATGACATAGATTTTGGACTTTTTCTATCAGTCCAAACACTCCCACATGGATGTTCACAATATAAAGTAATTCAATACTAGCTTTCTGTAATTTAGGCTTTGTTTTTGCAGAAGCGTGTCATTGTCACTATGTGATTTGCTCACGAATGTGCTTTGTCAACATATTCTTTTTATTATCTCATATCTCATATGAGAAAACAAAAACTGTAATAATGACCTATATTAATTATTAGAGATCACCAAAATCTACAGATTTTTCTTTATCAATTAGAAAACAGATTTTTTAAATATTGATTTATATATTTATTAGGGGGGCAACGATACACAAAATTCACGGTTCGGTTCGGTACTTTGGTGTCACGGTTCGATATTTTTTCGATACAAAAAATGTTCATGCATTTTTAATTTGTCATTTATTAAAATTATAAATATATATTTTAACTCAAAAGTACAGTTTTTAAATTTAACCCTAACCCCTGTGCGTGTTTTTTTTTTTGACAGCGAATGCGCACCTGCAGACCACTTATGTGCAGCCCTGGTTATATAGCTCATCATATTGCAGCCACAGAAATTCTTTTGTCCATGAAACCATAAAGCTGCACTTTCTTTTTGCCTTATAGTCTGATTTGTCATAACTTCTCCGTTTTGTGGTAAGCTTTTCTTTGGCTGTCACTTCTTCACCCTGACCTGTCTTATTTGGCTCAGCAGAACTGAAATGCTTTTACACGCTCACTCACATAAGCTCAGCGATTCTCTGCGCGATCAGCCTCTCACATGTTTAAGCTGCGGGAGATTTCACTTGTCATGTTTGCATAGTAAGCTAACGATTAATAAGACGATGTCAGAGGAATTGGTGCACAAATTATCATCACTCACAGATCAGTGCTGTCGCTCTCTATACACAGTTCACAGGATTGCAAAGTGAAAGCAAAAAAACAAGCGCAAATTCAAACGCGATTTCAATATGTCACATATTGACAGTGGCTCACCGATGCCACTGACATAATTACCCAGCTACATTTCTGAAAGAATGCAGAAGCATTGACATATATTTTTCGTACAATAGCCCGACGGGCAGGGAAGAGATAGATTTTGGTAGCCCGACTGAAAAAATCGCTAGCTCCGGGACGTCGGGCTAGCGATATTGCAAGCCCTGTATCTGATTGAGGAATCACTCATCTTTGGAAAAGAGAGTTTATTACAGAGAAATGGCTCTTTCCAAAATAAAAGCTATACTATCCGCTTCTTCTGGGCTATATTCTCAGCAGCATAAGGAGAATCATGTGCTAACAGCTGTCTAAATGACTCGGCTAAAGTTAGTAGCATGCTTGTTGTTTTTGTCTTTGCACTAGGATGATGTCGGCGTAAATGTGCAGTCATATTCGTTGTGTTCCCACTAGTGCTTTCAGGTTAATCTCGTTGAAATGACCTTAACGCCACAACACGGCAAATCTCCGTTAACGAGCTACCGCCGATCACTCCGTGCATGGGGCTAGACGGCCAACACGTTAACGAGCTAACTGCGCTAACACACTAGTTCACACCAATGTAATTGAGCATTGCATGGCACATTCAACATACTGTTTTACTTTAGTCCATGACGCGCTTACCTTCAGGGTCATACGTCACATGAAAACCAAAATAATTCCAAACGCCAGATCTGAATGAGGTTCAATTTGCCTGTTGCAAGGAGAGCTTAACTTCTGTCTCGCTAGCTTGCCCTGCGCTCTTCCTTCTGATTATGCTGTCTGTGTTGAGCTCTCAGTGGATCTGCGCTCGACAGTGCAGCCTAGGCGGAGTAGTCGAACACAGATTCACTGAGCGCTCAACACAGACAGCATGTCAGAAGGAAAATTGATAAAATAAATTACAAATGTTGTATTGTTCATACATATGCGTACTGAACCGAAAGCACTGTATCGAACGGTTCAATATCGATACGAATATCGTTGCACCCCTAATATTTATTTATATTGGCTACAGACTCATGCTGCAGAGATGGCTGCAGGAAGTCTGTGCTCAAAGTCACAAGGCACAACTCTGTGTACATGCTGATTAATTAGTATAACAACATTTTATTAAATCTGAATTGGTTCAAGATGTTAGTATTTCCGTGTTTCTGTGTGCGGCAATGGAAAAATGTTCATCATGACCAAAGTTTTTTTGTCTTTGTCTTTGTCTTTGCTGTTTCGACCGCTGTTTGTCTGCATGCCAGGCGGGGCACAGCCTCAACAAGCCACACTTTCGAGCAAAATACTGGCAAGGAAATGTTGGCTGTCCTTTGAGTGAACCTCCCAATTGTCCACTGTTATCCCAAACCCAGGTGTGTGGGGATTTCAAGGTAAGGAAAATACTAAACAGTACAAGAAATGCTTCTTGTACCACCTTAAATAGACAGTTCTAAAAGTTTGAAATTGAGGCTTGATATAAATGCTAATACGAATACAGGGATAATGTAGTTATTTCAAGATCCTTTCTCATTATATGCCTTAAATTTAATCTGACCTGATAAGAAGCATGTATCCTGGTGTCCCCCCAAGAGAGATGATAAAGGAAGTGATGACAGAGAGAGCCAGGAAGTACGGGAACATCCTGTCACAGTCGTCCTTTTGAGGGCAGTGACCTGTACTGGCCGTATAGTTACCAGCCACACCGACACAGGAACAGTTAGAGAAGACCTGGAGAGACACGCATATTCCACACATATGACCATATAGCTAGACACAGACAACTACAGACAAATTAATGGAAAAACCAGTGTGCGTGTGTGTGTCAAAGCATTGTTGCCCAACACCTTACTGAGATAGAGGGAGTTCAGAGAGGGTTTTCCTTTATTTTGTCACTAGCCTGTATGCATAGAATTGCAAACTACATTTATATACAAATCAAAAGATGATAGTAGTCTTTCATGTCTTTTTTATAGGAAAAGTGCAGAAAGATTTTGCAAAACACGAGGTGCAAAAACAATGTCGCTGTATAAAAATACAATAAATAGTGAGAATTACCATTCAGACATACTGGCACAGGTCATGTTTAATGGAAAAAGTGATACACGGCATGTTATTTCTCAAATACAACCCCTGGGACAATAACAGTGCTATGTGCATAAAAGTGGACACTGTTCAAGTCAATATTCAGTTATTGATTTGGGATGCTGCACAACTCTGTCCATGTTTTTTAGATGCTGACTTTTGGCTTCCTTATGCTGACTTCCAGTAGAACAGATTTTAACATTTTATTACTTGTTTTTAAGTCACTAAATGGACTTTAGCATCCTCTTACCTTTCTGGACTTTGAACTATTCCTATTTTAACTATTCCTAATAGATCTTTAAACACAGAGCAGGCCAGGCCTTTGCTGTAGTCAAACCTAAACTTTGCAACAGTTAGCCTCTTCAAATTAGCACCTCTGCAACCCTTGAGATGTTTAAAACTCACTTAAAGACACGCCTTTACTCACTAGTGTTTAATTTTGACTGAGTTTTGACACGTTTCTTTTCTTTTTGGTTCTTGCTTTTCTTGTTATTTCTCTATTTCCCTGCTGTTTTATTCTATTTAGCTGTAAAGCACTTTGGCCAACCTGTGTTGTTTTAAAATGTGCTAATAAATAAATTAACTTGACTTAACTAACTTGTCGCAACATTTTTACACCATAAGACAGTTTTAAGCAGTTTAGTAAATCTAGCATTAAACGCCCTCATTTTGAATTTAGCTGGTTTAAATAAAACTCCCTTACTGATTAACAGAAAACTTCAAACCAGTACAAAAAAGCACAAGCCTTTAGTCAATCAAACTTTCTTTAAATAAAGACAATCATATACAGGCAAATAATACCCAGGAAGTAAGCAACCAAATTAATGTAAAAGATTGTGTACAGCGATTTAGAGAGGCTGCCTCCACTGTGTAAGGAACTCTCTGGCCTAAACTAAGTGGACTATTTCCTGCTGTGTGCTACATGTTAGAAAAAGGAACAGTGGAAAATATCCAAATCTAATTCTCATGAAACTCTCCAAGGTTCATGTGTGAAAACAGCTTGAAAGCACTGGCTGTGTGGGCTTCCCTTAAAGGCCCTCAGTCACATGCTTGCTCCCTAAAACAGCACTTAGTCATCAAAACTGTGAATACCCTTTCTTGATATCTGTACTAATCAATAAATAACAATTAAAGTAGACTTATCATAATTAATATAGTTTCACAAGGGCGGAGGATCATTTAAACACTGCCAAAGGTCTGCGCATGTGCAAGTCATCACCAAAAGCTGAAAGCATGACGTCAAAGAGAGGGGATTTCCTTAATATGGTCAGAGTGGCCTTAAGGGGAGAGGAGCTAAAATTGCCTATTTCAGACAGAAACATCCATGAATGTGAATCATGTAAAGTTAATTTAATAAAGTGCAAGAATTAGCATAAAAAGTCCCCTTTTAAAAACCAGCCATGAGCCGTAAAGACCGACATAGCCTGGTTCCAGATCACTGATCTGCTGCCCACGTTTGAGATTTTACCAGCAATTCAATTTGATGCAATGAAATTAGTGTCTTATTCTTATTTTTTATCTTATATTGGTTAAGTATACAGGAATAGAAGATTGTACAACTCATTTTGTTATTTTCTCATATTAAAGCATGTATCTTTCTCTTTAAACCAGCTGTGGGCAAGTTTTACGATGTTTTCTCATGAAAACTGTATTCATTCTCACAATGGAGAATAAATGAATGCACAGTCATGAATGAGTGACAGAAGATCTCTTCTCAGTAACATTTAGTTTAAAAAAAAGAGAGAGAATTATGCCTTGAAGTTCACGCCAAATGACTTTTATGGCAAAACAGTGTGTAATCCAAATGAAACGTAGAAACCCACTTCCGAGAAAAATGCATGTTTTTCTGAGCCAGCCAAGGTTACGCAGTTGGGATATAAGACTACTCCAAGTTTTAAAACAGACGAGACACTAACAAAGTTTTTTGCCTCATAATTTCCAACCGATTCTGGTTGTACAGTATTTACTTTCTGAGCCGCTTGTAAACTTACTGTGTTTTTTCCTGAGCCAGCAGAGGTGGTGCAGCCAGCCAGACACGGAGAAACATATGTGATGCCGTTCTCACCGCAGACTGGGTCCCAGTCGCTCGATGAACAAACGCACTTTGAGTTGCAGTCTGTGAAGAGCGGGTGCTTATCATACGATATCTTTTCGATGCTGGAAGATAGATGATAAGAAAGAAGTACAACTCAGAAACAAATACACTTATTTACAATTTTGTATATATTTGATATGGATTTTGAGTTTCTAGGGATACATTAGACATACGTTATCAAGGTGATATGGCAAATTTGTTAGCAAAGTGCAGCATATTCAGTCACTCTTCCTGGCCTACAGACAAATGTAGGTCAGTTTTTTTGGTGGATTTTTTGGTCCATCATCTCCTGAGAGGAATATCCTGCTGTTTATTTCCTAAATCGTCACCACCTAGTTTACACAGTAAGATTCAGACTATATCTTGAGCTCAGACTGTTAAGTAAGCTGCAGATTTAATTCCCACAGTTCTCTCTAGATTCATCACTACAAGCAACCCCCTTTTTATACGGTGACAATGTAATCTGTAATAAGATGAACTATTACTGCTTCAAATAAACACAGTCAAACGTGCATATTTCCAATCATCAGTGTCTTCAAAAATGACTGGCGCCAGAGCAATCCTCATTCATTTATGAAACTAAATAAGCAAGTTGCTGAGCATTAGGAAATTCCATATTTTATTTACCGCATGCAGTGTTTGGTTTTTAAATTGGTTTTCGAGCTTCGGCACATTCGCTGCATGGACTAATTAGCACGCTGCACCCCTCTGGCTACTTTTAACTTTTCATCTCAGCAGTGTCACTTCAGCTGTGTCTGAATACTGACATGCATTATTAGGCAAACCCAGAGGATGATTTTGTGTTGGTTTCCAGCTTGTAATCACCTACTGGTTCCCAAATATGCTTAACAAAAGGGTACCTCGTGCTCCTTTATATGCAGCTCCATGGAAATGTTGCCAGTTCTGCTTAAATATGAGTCGACATCCTCATGATTAAATGGACTTTTATCATACATTTTCTTTTTTGAGAAATCCTCTTTTTTGAGAAATGCCAAAAAACATAGCAATCAACTCTGATGCATGATATGAAACATTTAAATAATGTGTTGCTTTCAGCCACCATAGTGAGGAATCATTCAAATATTAGATGGCTAACTCTGCTGCGTTTAATAGTTTGGAGGAAAAATAAATTTTCCAAACAAGTAGCCATTAACCTCGACACATCATATAATCGCCTCTGACTCACTTGTCATATGAAAGTGTCACCCCGGCCACCTTGGCATTCTCACAACTCATTGCGAAGAAGAACAGTGACAGGATGTAACCTATAAGGGATGTGCCAAAGGCGAACTTGGCTGCTCCCATGATGTTCAGCTTCAGCCTCTTCATCAGCAGACCTCCAGAAAACATCCCCAGTGCCACAGCTGGGATATTTATCACACCTGAGATTAAAGGAAACAGCAAAGCACATGATTAATTAGATGCTGTTTAAAAGGCTAGATGAGGATTCGAACAATGAATGACGGTAACATTTTAAATTTTTCATCAAAGCTTCACTATTGTTTTTCAGACACCTGCTTATCCTACCTTGCAAGTGAGGCAGCTCCGGAGGTAAAATAACCCTACACTAGTTCCAAGTTACCATGATCAAAAAAGAACCCTGCTTTTTATCTTTTTATAGCTTTATTTAACATCAATGTGGAGACATGGTCTTTTATCTATATCCATGTCATTAGCTCTGGTCACTAATATTACATTCTCTTTCATATGCAGCCAGTCTGGTCAGCACAGGCATCTCCCTTGATGAGACCACATGAACCTAGATATTTTCATTTTACGCTATGAACTTCATTAGATATTTTATTTCATGTGCAAAGTAGTTCTCATATTCACAAAGCTCCAGTCTCTGCAGCTGTGGCTGTTAGTGGATTGAATTAGAATATAGCTAACCCAGCTCTCCTTTCTCTAACAAGATCCACTCCCTGAAGTTCTATTTCTGCTTCATCCAACAAATGTAAAAGAGAAGAAGGAGGAGGGTAACGCTGAATGGACAGAAAGCCCATAAATCTGTAATAATTACCATGTTAAACACATGATTCCTGCATTATAACGCCGTTTCCATACTTGACGCTAGAATTCATTTGATCAAACAAGGGACGTCCGAGTCCTTTTTCTCCCATACAATATGAAACAAGCTGGAAAGCTTTCCCTAGTCGTCTGTGATCATTTTCAAGTGTAACACACTAATAATTTATATAACGGCACAATGTTCATGAAACATGTACCATACCCATCAGAAAGTTGGCCTTTGAAGCTGATTGTCTGAAGTGCTGCTCAATGTACTTGGGCTTGTAAGTGACCATGCCGATGAGAGAGTTCAGCTGAATGATTGTCACGCACAGGTAGACCAGATAGACTGGGTGTGCCAGCAGCGTTCGCAGGGTTGGAATGAAGTCTGTGGAGTCAAAAATACAGATGAGTTAAAATTCATTCTAATTCAATTTTATTTATATAACACCAAATCACAACAATAGCCACCTCAAGGTGCTTTATTGTAAGGCAGGCACCCTTCAATAATACAGAGAAACCCTCAGCAATCACATGACCCCCTATGAGCAAGCAGTTGGTGACAGCAGGAAGGAAAAACTCCCTTTAAGCAGGAAGAAAGATCCTGCAGAACCAGGTTTAGGGAGGGGGGCAGTCATCTGCTGCGACTGTTTGGAGGTGAAGGTAGGAAGACAAAAATATGCAATACATACAGTATATGGCTAAAAGTATTTGGGTCGCACCTCTTTGAATTCAGGTGTTTTCTGTCCCATTACCACAGGTGTTTAAAATCAAATTCCTAGCTGCGCAGGATGCATTTAGAGCCTTTTTTGAAAGAACCAGTCTTTTTAAAGAGCTCGCTGGATTCAAATGTGGTACTGTTAACATCTCCAAACCTTCTCTGCCATTAACATCAGCACAAAATAAGCAATAACTCTCTAAGTCGTGACATAAAGCTGATTCAGTGTCTTGATGACGTAGTGGTGAGCTGCACTGTATAAATTCATTTAGTTTTCAAAGGGATAATAAAGCTGTGCAAGTGAAGTTTTGATAAGAGCCTCCACTTTTTTTATATTGTACAGAGTGTACATTGTCGGCATATTGATGTAATATGCCAAAAAACATAGCAATATGCAAAGGCAGTGATGCATCAGGCACACTATATCGCCTCAACTATTTTCTCATCTACCTTCATACACATATGAACTTAAGTGATTATTGTGTTTTGTGTGTGTGTGTGTGTGTGTGTGTGTGTGTGTGTGTGTGTGTGTGTGTGTGTGTGTGTGTGTGTGTGTGTGTTATGCTATGTGGTTATTATGATACTGGCCCACCCTTTGCAGTTATAACAGCTTCAACTCTTCTGGGAAGGCTGTCCACAAGGTAAGGTAGTGTTTATGGGAACTTTTGACCAATTTTCGCTGATATTGGACGAGAAGGCTTGGCTCGCAGTCTCCACTCTAATTCATCCCAATGGCGTTCTGTCAAGTTGAGGTCAGGACTCTGTGCAGGCATATCTTTATGCACATGTGGAAGGGGCGATCCCCATACTGTGTCCACAAAGTTGGGAGCATGAAACTGTCCAAAATGTCTTGGTATTCTGAAGCATTAAGAGCTCCTTTCACTGGAACTAAAGGGGTAAGCCAAACTCCTGAAAAACACCATAATCCTCCTCCAACAAACTTTACACTTGCCACAATGCAGCCGGACAAATACTGTTCTCCTGGCAACCACCAAACCCAGACTTGTCCATTGTAAGGTGGAGAAGCATGATTTGTGCTTCCAGAGAACGTGTCTCCACTGCTCTACAGTCCAGTGGCAGCAAGCTCTAGACCACTGAATCCAACAACTTGCATTGCGCTTAGTTATGTAACCATGGCCATGCAAACCGATTACATGAAGCTCTCTATGCACTGTTCTTGATCTAAGCTGAAGGCCACATGAAGTTTGGAGGTCTGTAAAGATTCACTCTGACCTGAAATTCGGTGACCTCTGCGCAGTACATGCATCAGCATCCACTGACCCTATTCTGTGATTTTATATGGCGTGCCACTAAGTGGCTGAGTTGCTGTCATTCCCTGGTGGCATCTTATCACGGCAGCACACTGGAATTCACTGAGCTCCTGAGAGCGACCCATGCTTTCACAAATACTTGTAGAAGCTGTTTGCATGTCAAGGTTGGTTTTATACACTTGTGGCCATGGAAATAACTGGAACACCTGAATTCAGTGATTTGGACAGGTGAGTGAATACTTTTGGCAATATGATGTATAAGCAATTCTTCATCTAAAATGCGGCTTGTACTCACTTTAACACAAAGAAAATGTGTTATTACTGCAAGTTTGTGAAGTGTTAATCCCAAATACAATGTGCTCTGAGAAACATTGTTTTCCACATATGACATATATAAAAACATCACACCCAATAACCTATAGACTTCCTTACCTTTGGCCATCTCTATAAAGCTAGTGTGTTCATCTGCTGAGTACTTGTGCTTCAGAAGGGGAGAGCCTTTGATGAAACTCGTCTGCTCTGGTGTGCACTTCTCTGGGACCTCTGGCCTGGACACGGGTAGTGAGCGGGGCAGAAACCAGAATGGGATAGCAGAAAGAAGGGTGATAACCCCAGCTATGAGGTAACCCAGCCACCAGGCCCCCACCCAGCGGGAATCTGATGGGGTAATGGTGATGGTCTCTATGTTTTGGAAGAAGATGAAAGTTAAGTAATGCTTTCTGAAAACAAGGTACATGTATTATTCATTCTACTAGTTTTCTGATTTTCATCTATTCTAAGCACTCAGATTGTGTGTCCAGTCTGAAAATGACGTACTTTATGGTACTGATTGATATTTTTACTCAAGCTATTTTTTGTTGGGGGTTTTTTTTGTTACTTTGTTATGAACATGTATTATGCAGCATAGCAAAACTATAGAAACTAATGTTATTTTTTTAGATTAAGAATAATAATAACAAAATCCAGTGCCGACGAACACGTGTTTACTCCTTTGTGTGTTTTTAATTGATCTGAAACTCTATATTTTTCTTCTCCTTTTTTTGTTAAAGGCTACTTTCCTTTTAGCTTTTTCCTGCTGTCCCCTTTTCTTTGTTCTGTTCTGTTCTGTCTCTTTCTCTCAGTCTTTCTTGCCGACCAGAGGGCTTTGTCCCTCTTCTTCCTCAGCTGGCCTCATTACCTAAGTGATGCTAATCCTGTACACCTGCTCTGTTTAGAATTGTGCACGCAACGAATGTGAGCCATTTTTTCCCGATAACATCAGGCCTCAGTTTTATGAATGAAAAACTCTTTTTCACAGCAGATATTTGAGCTCCAAAGGAAGTCAGGCAACAGGTGTTACAAATAACATTAACAATGGCCCTGTTGTATTTAAGTCTCAGTCTCTGTGCACAGTATCAGAGTTTAAGCGTATAAACAATGCATGTGCACAAAAAAGTGGTAATGCAATTTTAGACACTGCTGCTTTAGACATTGCTGCTTTTTCGAAAAATGGTACAGTAACAATGTGGATACTTTAGATCAGGTAAAAATAGAGTTTTATAGAGTGAGCTGCATGCAGGTGAAATGTAAAAAAAAGATTCAGTATAAACCAAGAAATGTAATCCCATGGCTTTTTTAAATTGGCAACTTTTCAGCAATCAGACTTCATTTATAATGCTAATGAGTAATGAGCTTTATAATTATTTAAATTAAGATTTCAGCACAAAATTCAAATTTAACCTTAGCTTTTTTTCCCCCACAGTCCTAAAATTAGCCTAATGTTTCTTTCAGTCTTGCAATTTGAGACCGATTATCTTTTTGACATTTAAAATCGAGCAATAATGCTGATTAGCCATTAGTCTCACAATGTAAGAAACCAACCAAGAGTCTGCTGACTCAGCCTCTGGGGGTGACTGGCAATATTTCTAGGGCCAGAAACTATCAAAAGATTTGCTGACATTTGCTGCTCGTTGTTTACAAACCCTTTTTTATCACTTGTTTGTTTTGAGGTATTAACATGTTAAATTACCTATTTTACACAGTGGGCTTTTTATTTGCATTGTTTGCCTGGATACAACCAAAGCAGCCAAAGTTTGCTCAAACATGTATTGGTCCATAGAACTGAAAGCTTCCAGTGCAGGAAATGTCATCCCTCTGCTACAGATTCTGCTCACTCATATGTAGATATATGTGTAGAAATATTATCACGTTCATCATTTAAAAATAAACATTGTAAATCAGTAAAATAAATAGCCACAACCCCAATTGTCTGCAAAGCCAACTGTTCTGCAGTTGCACAAGTCAGTTTCAGTTGCAGATGTTTATCTGGGGGCATTTGTATATTCATTTAACTGTGGAAAAGCATATCAGGCTATGTATGATTACAATTTATTAAAACAGAAAACGTTCTGTCTTTTTGTGTACACACAACCATGTCAGCATAGTTTTGTGGATCTGGCCTTAGGACCCTAAACCACAGTCAAATATGATTTATTTTAATGGGTACAAAACATTTTATCCACCTCTAGCTTTTTCCTAACGGTGATGGTGCTTATTATTATGATTTTATTTTAACATCTGACTGTTAGCTGGGGCTCACCCTTTAATGTTTATCAATTCTTATCAGCTATTGTGGCACCGTTGTTTTTTTTATGATATCAGCAACAATAATTAAACCAAAAGATGAATCGAGGGACTTTTAATATTCCACAGTCACTCAGATAATAATCAGAGTCATGGTGTTAATGGCAGCGATTTGTGTAGACAGTCTAGCCTCATAATAACAATTTAAAAAATGTGTTAGTATTAAACTCACCCATTTTTACAAATCCAATGTCCACATAGATTTTGGCACAAAGGGAGCCCAATAGGTAACCAAACACAGGGCCAACCACTGAAATGGTCTGCACACAACCTAGGATGTGACAGTCATGCCAAAAGAGACACATGACATATAAAACAGTCAGATATCAGTAGATGAGTACATTGTGGTCATAAAAGGATAGACATAGTGTGCCAAGAAAATATCCCCCTCATCATTACACCACCACCCTGCTTTCATGTTGTTTACACCACATTCTGACTCTAACCTCTGCATGTTGCACTGGAAATCGAGACTCATTAGACCAGGCAGCTTTTTTCCAATCTTTTGTTGTCCAATTTTGGTAAGCCTGGGCAAACTGTAGCCTCAGTTTCCTGTTCTCAGCAAACAGAAGTGATAACCAGTGTGGTCCATCTCATTCAAGGTTTGACGCACTGTGCATTCAGAGGTGCTCATATGCAAAATTGCCCAGTGACATTGCATACCTTGACTGTAATGGGTGGTTATCAGAGTTACTGTTCCTTTCCTGAAAACAGTTTGGTCATTCTCTTCTGAACTCTTCTGCACATGGTTGTGCAGGAAAATCTCAGCAGACCAGCAGTTCAAAGTCACTTAAATCACCTTTTTTCTCCTTTAGAGAAAATCAGAACTTTCTGCTACCCTCACATTGTTCTGAGCTAATAATGTGTTCAAACAAAGGCTGTGTTAACTATTACATCTGAACTGTAGCTGAGCATTTATTGGCTAAATGATAGGAGCTGCCTCGTTTGTGTGTCTGTCTCTCTGTCCTCGAGCAAGTTTATGCAAAAACTACCAAGTTGAAACTTGTGGAAAGGTGAAGCACGGGCAAAAGAAGATCCTACCTAATTTCGGTGCAGAGGAGTATCATTTTCTGTAAATGTAGAAATAGAACACTGGCTTTGGCATTAGCCCTGGTAGCACATCCAATGCACATAACTTACCTTTGATGCAGTGCAGGTTTACAGTCTAGAACAAGTTTCATGTTCTCTACCTGCACAGACTGTTGCCCATGCCAAAAAGTTGGCACCAGAATTGAACCACAACATGTCTGAGCACATAGTTGCTACCTCTGACTTAGGAACTATGATAAAATGCTGCAGGAAAGTCATCAGTGATTTGCAGATAAAGCCCATAGATTATCTCCCCCATGACTTTCTTCCCACAGAAATAACCAAAACATCTGCTACATATCGTTCAGTTTTCAAATCTATCGCAATGTGGGATTCTCTCTGGTTGTGCATCTGCAGTATGTCAGTCAAAATAGGTAAGAGCAAATGTATCTCTACCACTAGGTGATGTTTTTCTTACCAACATAAAGTGCAGCATTCTCCTCAGTGGCAAAATCATCTATATACGAGATTCCCAGAGGCTGAACAGGTGTCTCTCCAATCCCGCGCAAAACATTTCCAAGGAGCACATAGATCCACATGGACAGGTTGGACTCGCCTTCACAACCTTGAGCAAAAGACAAGTACAATTAGACATATTTCTTATTTACACAAGTGTGTGTTTGTGTGTGTGTGTGTCAGCACAAACCTGAGGCTGGCACTTGAGGTAGTGTACCGTCTTCTGTCAGGTTTGCTAGTGAGTCTGGCCGACACGGAGAGGGGTTAAGAGTTGAGTTCACTACCCACCGCACTGATGTCTCAAACTCATAGCTGTTCACAAAATTCAAACAGTTCAGATCAGCGACAGAGACAAAAATACTCATTCAAACTAGTTATAGCTTCAACTTGTGCTGGGAGGGACGTTTGTACAGTTACATGTGACTATGTGCATTTGTGAAAGAAGAAAGGAAAGTGCTTAATGAAAAGGCAACATGCTGGTATAGGCTGACCCATGATGCTCTAAATAACAGATTAAGTACTAGTAATACAGGGAGTGCAGAATTATTAGGCAAATGAGTATTTTGTCCACATCATCCTCTTCATGTATGTTGTCTTACTCCAAGCTGTATAGGCTCAAAAGCCTACTACCAATTAAGCATATTAGGTGATGTGCATCTCTGTAATGAGAAGGGGTGTGGTCTAATGACATCAACACCCTATATCAGGTGTGCATAATTATTAGGCAACGTCCTTTCCTTTGGCAAAATGGGTCAAAAGAAGGACTTGACAGGCTCAGAAAAGTCAAAAATAGTGAGATATCTTGCAGAGGGATGCAGCAGTCTCAAAATTGCAAAGCTTCTGAAGCGTGATCATCGAACAATCAAGCGTTTCATTCAAAATAGTCAACAGGGTCGCAAGAAGCGTGTGGAAAAACCAAGGCGCAAAATAACTGCCCATGAACTGAGAAAAGTCAAGCGTGCAGCTGCCAAGATGCCACTTGCCACCAGTTTGGCCATATTTCAGAGCTGCAACATCACTGGAGTGCCCAAAAGCACAAGGTGTGCAATACTCAGAGACATGGCCAAGGTAAGAAAGGCTGAAAGACGACCACCACTGAACAAGACACACAAGCTGAAACGTCAAGACTGGGCCAAGAAATATCTCAAGACTGGTTTTTCTAAGGTTTTATGGACTGATGAAATGAGAGTGAGTCTTGATGGGCCAGATGGATGGGTCCGTGGCTGGATTGGTAAAGGGCAGAGAGCTCCAGTCCGACTCAGACGCCAGCAAGGTGGAGTTGGAGTACTGGTTTGGGCTGGTATCATCAAAGATGAGCTTGTGGGGCCTTTTCGGGTTGAGGTCAAGCTGAACTCCCAGTCCTACTGCCAGTTTCTGGAAGACACCTTCTTCAAGCAGTGGTACAGGAAGAAGTCTGCATCCTTCAAGAAAAACATGATTTTCATGCAGGACAATGCTCCATCACACACGTCCAAGTACTCCACAGCGTGGCTGGCAAGAAAGGGTATAAAAGAAGAAAAACTATGACATGGCCTCCTTGTTCACCTGATCTGAACCCCATTGAGAACCTGTGGTCCATCATCAAATGTGAGATTTACAAGGAGGGAAAACAGTACACCTCTCTGAACAGTGTCTGGGAGGCTGTGGTTGCTGCTGCACGCAATGTTGATGGTGAACAGATCAAAACACTGACAGAAACCATGGATGGCAGGCTTTTGAGTGTCCTTGCAAAGAAAGGTGGCTATATTGGTCGCTGATTTGTTTTTGTTTTGTTTTTGAATGTCAGAAATGTATATTTGTGAATGTGGAGATGTTATATTGGTTTCACTGGTAAAAATAAATAATTGAAATGGGTATATATTTGTTTTTTGTTAAGTTGCCTAATAATTATGCACAGTAATAGTCACCTGCACACACAGATATCCCCCTAAAATAGCTGAAACTAAAAACAAACTAAAAACTACTTCCAAAAACATTCAGCTTTGATATTAATGAGTTTTTTGGGTTCATTGAGAACATGGTTGTTGTTCAATAATAAAATTATTCCTCAAAAATACAACTTGCCTAATAATTCTGCACTCCCTATATAGCAAGCGCATACGCAGCTGTCCTCCGGATTTTCCACACACTCATCATGGGCATGGATGTGATGGGGTCTTTAATTATTTTTGAACTGTTCTTTTTCCACGGTGGAAATATTTGCAGCATATTTAATGATTTTAAAAAACAAGAACTTTATTTTGGATTTTCTCTAATCCACACAGAGTAAAAGTATACATATATGCTCAAATATATTCATACACTCCAATAATATTTGGTTAAATATCATTTGCACCTCATCCAGATATTTGTGGCAGCCGTCAACAAGCTCCTGGGATAATTCTAGCTGGATATTTGAGCACTCTTCTTGACTAGCAAGTTTATACTTGCTGGTTTTCTGGCATTTACCTGGTTTTTAAGCACAGTCCACACATTTTTAATAGGGTTGTGGTTTGTATCAACACCACTAGCAGCAAAACAGTCCCAGAGAATGATGTGACCACCACCATGCGTGAGAGCCAGTACAGTGTTCTTAGGTTTGAAAGCCTCATGTTTACTCTTCCAAGCATGCCTTGTGTCATAGTGGTCAAAAAGCTCAATCTTTGTCTCTTCAGCTCGTAACATTTTTCTCCAGAAGTCATTTGGCTTGTACATGTGAGCAGCTACAAATTCCAGTCAAACTTGGAGGTGTCAATTTTGAAGCGAGGCTTCTTCGTGGTCAGCACTCTCTCAGTCCACAGAGACGTAAAAAGCTTTTTCGCTGTGCACAATGATGCTGTTCCATCAGTTTCCAGTTCATGGAAGGTTTGAGTCTTGGTGGTCACTGGGTTGTTCCTAAACATCATAAGCAATTTCCTCTTATTTAAGGGTGACAGTTTGGGTCTTCTTGTAGGCCTTGGTAAAGTGGTAATACACTGAATTACTTGTACTTGCATACAATTGTTTGACCTGATGATCTGGAATATGTAATTATTTTAGAAATGTCTCAAAGAGACCTTCCCAACTTGTATAAATCGAAAGTTCTCCCTATTGGATCTTCACTGAGTTCCTTTGACATTCCCATTGTTTTGAGTTTTAGTCAGTCCAATGACTGTTGTCAAGAAAATCCTTTTTCTATGCTGGGAAAAAACAAACTGCCAGTCACAGTACACTATCATCACTAACGAGAAGTCAACAGGTATTGCCCTCATCAAGTTAAAAAACACTGCAGAACCTTCAGTATCCCTTATTAAAATATTTAAATTACCGTATTTATAATTTTGAGCCTGTGTGGATTAGACAAACTGCAAAATAAATTCAAACATGTACACTCATTTCTTATTAGAAATAAAAAACAGTTACAAAAATCATTAAAATTCCAAAATAACCATGACATTTATTTCCACAGTTACTAAAACTATCCCAAGTCATCACCTGACAAAAATGAATAACATTAATTGATTATTTGAGTCTTTCATACAATAATTAATATCTGCTATTAGGGTTATGGTTAAAGTCAAAGAGCAAACAGACCTGTTAGTTGGGATTACTCACCGACCAATGATGAAATGAGGCAGAGCTATGATGAAGGTGCCGATGGACATCAATACACAGCCCACTGCAATGATCTTTGGCCTGTGGAGTTTGGCTCCAAAGTAACTGACAAAAGCTATCACCAGTAAGTTGCCTGGAAAGTTTGAGCAAGAAATATCATTGATTTAGACATGGGGGAAAAACCACATCATTGCCTCCATGCACTAGCTTGGGATTGTTTTTTTATGGGGTTTTTGATAGTGTTTGGTTCATATGTGGCTCTGCGTGCTGAGAATAAAATTAGCAAGGTCTTTTTTTTAACTTGCTTTCTGTACCTGTACAGATACAAATCATAAAGGAAAAGGCCGAGGCGATTATTTTCCATGCAGTAAAAGTAAAATATTTATCCTATACTATAGAGTCAGTAGATGTTATAATAGCATGCGTGACATTTAAATGAGTCAGAGTAAGGTGATGCATTAATTTTTCATGCGGAAATCCTAGTTGCTCAAGTGGCGTGAGATCTTACTTTGAGAGAAGAATTTACAGCACGCAGTAGCAAACATGACAGAAAAATTAAACAAGGCTCCCTGCTGCCACCTTTTTTTAGCGCATTCTGCCCACGATCAGTGACATGGAAACTCCATTTTAAATGGGGTGGTGTAGTGGTGAAGAAATCTCATCTTACATAGTATCCTACAATACTTATCACTTTTTGCAGTAGTGCCTTGTAAAGAAAATAACCACATGCCTCTCATAGCGCAGTCCTTATTATACTCGTAGATTCATCAATGGATTATGGGTATCTAAGTTTTATCTAGTAACAGATTTGTTTTCCCAAAACCTGTTAAAAGTGAGAGACAGAGGGATACAGAGGTGAGCTTGAAGCTAAACAAGTTTATAGAGGAATATATCAGCGCTGCCGGCTGCTCAACGCATGAAGATGACAAACTAAGAATGGTTCATGTAGCGTAGTATGTGTATGTACGTATAGTCAGTCACCTGAGCTCATCTTGCAGGCATGATCTCTCTGAAGATCAGCATCTATTACTATCACTCTCTGCTTCCCTTTTTTATTATTCTTTATTTCCTCCCCGACCCCCTCACACACCCCCTCTGTTGTCCTCTCTTGTTCCTTGCACTGTCCTTTTTCCCTTTTCTTTCCTCTTCACAGTGCCCTGCTCTGCCTCTATGTTACCCTGGCAACAGTCCTATAGAAAAAGCCTGTTGCCTAGGCCACATGAGACCAGCAGCTTTCACAGGAGATGGAGAGAATCAGGATACTCCGTATCGACTCCACCCAAGGTGCCATCACCATCTTCTCCTCCGGCAGACTACCAGGGTTCACACACATGTGCGACCCGCAATGCTGCAGATCATAGATGCTAATTATTCTTCGTTACTATTGTCTCCCACTGTAACACAATGACTTTTATCTTCTGTAGCCTGTTTCTATAGCATGTTTCTTTGGGACTGAGTCTGCACTGCAAGCCATGTATAATTTATAACCTACAAGAGGCTTCAGATGAATGGATTAGACTTACGTATATAACTGCCCCAGAAATTGGTAAGTGGACCATTGGAGAACAACCTGATAACAGTATATACAGTGGTCATTGTATGCATGCTGTAACACTACTCGGACTGAATTTTGACTGAAAAATTTATTACAGATGATCCTATTATTACCATATGATTAAAATACAAAGAACTCATTTTTTTCTAACATCATATTTTCACATCCACACATTTCTTGCTCTTGAGGCTTGAAAGGGTGTTTACAACTTCTCAATAAATGTATTATGACCTCTTCAGCACACATTCTGATTTGTAAAATTCATTGAGTTTCTCTTTAAAAAGAGCGCCGTAAATGATCACTTCTGTTTTGGGAGTTCCTAAATGATGAGCCTGTGTGCTGATATACTGTTTCAAAGTACATCTGTGACTTTTCCTAGTAGTAACTCTGAGCTTGTAAAACAAGCCAAGCTGAAATTCAAATGGAAGAAATGTGATTTAAGTGACTGAACTTTGTCTTCCTCTCACCCCTGACTAGTCATGTTAGATAGCTACCCCTCCCTGAGCCTTCCAGAAGTTTCTTCCAGTAAAAAGGGAGGGAGCCCCCAGCAGCATAAGCCTATTACAGTGTAACTAAGGAAAGATTCAGGGTCCAGCCCTATCTATATCCTTTAACAAAAAGGAAAGTTTTGATCCTACTCTGGGAGAAATATGAGCTATCTTTCTAGTCCCTGCCAGTACTCTGATGTGACCTGACTCTCATGTCTTGTTAAATAGCATTTAGGAAATCAATTGAATGCATATGATTTATGTTGGAGTTCCATCCCAGCTGATTTTATATTGTGTGAAGGGTCAGTGTTTTTGTAGCCCATTAACAAGTGCACTAAACAAATATTGCATAACAACATCTTTCAAATTTTAGAATGTGGCTTTCCATAGCTTAAAAACAGCTAGGACCTCAGCTTATGTCCTTGCTCAACATTATGACTCATCATCTACGCACACAGACACACAAACACGCAAACACACCCCTCTGTCCTCTTCTGGGAACTCTGATGAATCTTTTATCTGAAGCTTGAATATCTTGATGACCCATTCATATTTTCGCCCCAAAGACAGAACGGGAGAAGCGAGGGGAGCCCATGACACAGAGGCTACAAATAGAACAACAAAATAACAGCAGTCACAAGCAGGCCTACTCACCTATCTCGAAGCTCCCGTCAATGACACCTATTAGGTAACTAGGGATGTCAAAGCGCCTCTCGAGCTGGGTTATTGTGCTCTTCATGTAGCTCCCCGACAGAGCCTTTGCGAAGTAGGCAAAGGACAATGCCACCAGAAACATCTAAAAAACAGAAACACACACACAAACGCATTGATATGCATGAAACTCCAACAGGAGAAAACACACTGTTTTAACATAATCATCCTCCATAATATACTTGATTATGTAATGCTTCTGTTTGTGTCTACCCACAAAAGACGGAAATGAAATGCTTATGTCACCACTGTGGCTTCTACAATGCACGGACGCGCCACATTCAACTTCGTCAACTCATCCAAAAATCACTAATAATTAACATTTGCCAGCGTCACAAGAATAACAAGGATTTTGATGAGGGAAGGGGATAGAGCGCGAAGCAATGAAGTGCAAATAAGATTCTATGAACTGTGAACAACAGCGAGATGAAACAAACCTTTGAGTGTTGACAGATGAATGGACAACTTTGTTATACAGTACGTGACATGTTTCACATCTTCTATTCTTATAAGACAGTAAGTTACAAATACTTGCTGTTATAAAAATACTAAATTCAATTAAATTCAACATATTTTTTAATTCAGTTTGTATAGTAGCAGTTTACAAGGTAAAGACTGTGCAACACTAAAGGGAGAACATGACCTGTAACTTACTGTAAATCCCTTATAAGAAAGCCCTGTGCAATCGTGGGGAGAAAAAACTCCCTTTTAACAGGAAGAACCAGGCGCAGGGAGTCACCACTGAGGTCAGCACTTGTTATAGACTTATCTCTAGTGCTGCAGCAAGCACTTCCAAAAACAAGTCCAGAGTAGTTATGTGCTAAGTAGAGCCAGCTCCAATCTCCAAGAAAAAAAAAAGGGGGGGGGCCATGACGTCTATGAAAAAATTTAATCATTTAGGCATCATTGAATTAAGTCGAAACCAACACTTTAACAGGCTGCTCTGTAGCATTCTGGAGTGGTAGATTGCACTCAGACAAAGAGACACAGTCAGTAAAGTTTGTAAAAACATCCCTGTGTCATGGCCCTAGGGTTTTGTGTTGTTTTGGAGTGCCTGATTCCTAGTTAAACTGTTTGTAGCTCCGTTTCTCTTTTATTGTTCTTCTAGTGTTTGGAGTTTTGATTTTCTGCCTGTTGATGTTTTTTTTAATTTCTGTTTTAGTTTCTTTATTATTCTACTATTGAGCTTTGTTTCTTGTGATGTTATTGAGTTATGTTTGGATTGCTGTTAAATTTTATTGTTGTTCAATGTTACTTTAGGGGTTTGCATTTGTGTCTGTGTGTGAGTGAGTGTTTTTTTTGGTCTTTATTAATAGACTCCTCTGTTTCCTTGTTTTCCTTTCCCTCCATTATGTCAGTGCCTGTCTTTTCTCCCCCCTGAATTAGTTAATTCACGTTTACCACTTGATTTCTCATTTTTTCAGCATCTCCATGTCGCTTATTTTACATTTTCTGTTTTTTTGATAGTCACTTTTCTCTCTTGCTTTAGTTTTTGGTTCGGTTTGCACCTTTAGCTCCTTCGCTAACCTGTCTCTAATCTCTAGTCAGCCCTCTGCCTGTCTATCCCATACTTGTCCCAATTCAGGGGATGCATCCTTCGATAACTGTGAAGGCTGGAAGTCACATTGTGAAATTAGCTGGTCTAGCCTATAGGACACACTCCTTGGTGTAATTAGGCACTATAAAAATAATTTAATTAATATATCAATCAATCAATAAATTAATTAATTTGGTGCTATATAAATAAAACTATATAACTAAAAATGAATTGGCTTGTGCAGTTTGTTGAGTTACACCGTAGTCACACCATCAAATGAATCCCAGCTGTAACGTTATAACAGTGCCTCACTATCACTGAAATTTGCATGCATTCACACAAACACCTTATGAGAACCCATCGATTTGTTAGAAGATGTAATTACAGTAATCGGTGTACATTTATAACAATACCCTTAGAACCTTAAAGCTCAAAAAACGACTGACTATACCTTTAAAGTGTTAAAGAAATAAGAGAAGAGAAAATCACCACATCAACCCCACATCAATTTCACTTAAAGACCAAATCTTAAATTCTGCAGTACTAAAACTGTTGCACTGTGGCTGCAGGTGTAATGAAGGAAATCAGAATCTCAAACTTATTTCTTTCATCCTAAAATGTGATTTGAATTGATTCTTTCACCATGACGTCAACAAATACAAAATGACCCTTAAAAGAAAGATTGAGGAAATCGAAGGAGTGTTGTGTTTGAGCAGCAGGGAAATCCCCTCTTCAATACCTGGCCAAAATTCTACAACAAAAGCCAGGAGGGGAGCATCTGCAACATACAGCTTTAGATTGGTGACAATTCATGAAGGATGGGAAACTATAAGTTCAATACAATATCTGCTCAATATTAATGGTAATAATGTTCATACAAAGGAGGAACACTGTGGTAATGTGTGAGCCGGTAAACCACAGCGCAGGAAAATGTTAATACATTTTGGCTTTCTATAAGTGGAGGTAAATAATTCCTTAAACAGATGAACAAATCAGAGATTCTGAATATATTAACTGATAAGTGGTGCTGGTAGAGCTGCTATATGAAGAACCTTCAACCTGAGATTGTACTGTTTCTGAATATCAGCAAGGTGTCAGTTGCTGTGTCGCTTCCTGAAGATCATCATAACTGCCCGTGTATTATACTGCTCACACTTGACACACGATATTTTCTTGTGATCCTCTAAAGACCTCAAACGATTTCAATTAAAAAAGAAAAACATTCAAAATCAAACTGCACGTCCTCTGCCTTATGCATTATAATAGCTGGATGTTTCAGGATATATAGTGGAATATTTGAACTCTGGGATTTAGTGTTTTATAGGCTGATTACATAATTAACCATCATTATAAAAAAAAACATTTGTTAAGAGAACACAAAATAAACTTCATACTTGAAATGTCTTTTACTCTTTTTCTAGTGACTTTGTGATGTAGTCTCCTGTACATTTAATGAAGGAATGGATAACGTAGAGCTGTTCCAGTCACTAGATGTGTTTTAAAAGATTCACATGAAATGGATGATGGAGTTTAATCTATAGGTAAATGTTTCTCCCTGCACATCCATGGGAGCAAATCCCCCTATGGTATTTATTCTCTGTCTCCTGTAATCTCATTTCTAATTAAGCGCAAAGAGATGTAATGTGCACTGTGCACACGACTTATTTCCCTCCTCTCTACAGTGTTTGCACTCGATGTACTGTAAACAAAGCTACTAATTATCCTGCCTGTGAGGTTCCCGATTTTAATGATTTATTATTGTCTTTTGAGGCAGTAGGTATAATATTGTGTCTAAAAGAAACATAATTATCTGTCATAAAACAATGGCAAAAAGAGCTCAAATCATTTTTGCTTTAATTCTCCTTGATCGTTTCTTTCACAGAAACCGGCACACAAACCTTGTGTTTACAACCTTCATTTTGTGCTTTATGAGCCATTTCACTAGCTGGGCCCACGTCCTCATTTTAGGTTTGACAGCGTTTTAGTAAGTAAAGGTGAATGCTTGGACATGAATTGAGCTGCGGTTTGAGGAAGGCCTCAGAGGGGACTGGTGACGGCTCCCGGGCCGGGCAGATCCCCATGTACTAAATAGAAATAAAGAAGTTAAAGAATTGAGAATAAGGTGGGAGGGAGGGTGGGGCACGTAAACTAGAATGATCAGCTTGCAGTACTGTGGGAACCTGACAACCGGAAGGAGCGTGTGGTCCCGCTCCTGAAATTCCAATACATAATCTCCAATTAAGGTCGACCTGCTGTCCTGTTCCATAACCCAAGTGTGCCTGAGCATCAGGGCCCAAACTCCAGCAATTACAGGTCCTGACACAGCAAAGCAGCCCCAGACCATCACAGAACCACAATGTTTGACTTTTGGTATGATGTTCTTTTTTGGAATGTTGTGTAAGTTTTATGCCAGATGTTAAGGGATGTAACACTCCCAAATAATTCTCATGTCAGTGCACGTTATATTTTTCCAAAAGTCCTGGGTATCATCAAGATGTTTGTTTTTTTTTGGCGAATGTGATACGAGCCTTTGTGTTCCTTTTAGTCAGCAGGGGTTTTCTCCTTGAACTCTCCCATAGATGCCATTTTTGCCCAGTCTCTTTCTTATTGTTGGATCGGGAACTTTAACCGAGGTAAGTGTGGCCTGTAGGTTTTTTTTTAGGTTGGGGTCTTTTGTGATCTCCTGTATGAATTGTCATTTTACTCTTGGAGTAATTTTAGTAGGCTCGCTACTCCTGAGAAGTTTTCTCCATTTGTGGATAATGGCTGTCACTGTGCTTCACTTGAGTCCCAAAACAGTTCTCTGGGCAAACTTGTCTTGTTAATGCCAGAGGTCAGGAGAGAATGACCGGACTCCTTTGAGCAGAAATAGAGGCAACGCTAATTCAAATAACCATTTCTTACAACCAAGTTATACATAAGAGCATCTCTGACCACACAGCAGCAGAAGATAACACCAGTTGCCACTCCTATTCAATAAGAGCAGAAAACTAAGCCTACAATTCACACAGAGTCACTAAAACTGAACGGCAAGAGATTGGAAAATCTTTGCTTGAGTCTGATGAGTCTCCATTTCTACTGTGACATTCAATTGATAGGGTCATAATTTGGTGCAAACAACAAGAAAGAATGGATCCATTCTGCCTCGTATCAATAGCTGACACTGTAATGATGGATTAATGGGGTTGGGGACATTTTCTTGACACACTTCTGGCCTGGTAGTGTCAACTAAGCATTGTTTAAATGCCACAGCCTACCTGACTATTGCTCCTGACCATTTCCATCCCTTCATGGCTCCAGTGTATCACAGTGCAGGATAGCGCACCCAGTCACAAGCTCAAATCATCTGGTTTCTTAAATGTGACAATGAGTGCTCTGTGCTCAAATGGCCTCCACAGTCACCAGATCACAGAGCACCTTTGGCATGTGGCAGAATCTGCATCATGGATGTGCAGCTGACAAACCAACTGTGTGATGTTATTATGTTAAAGTGGGCTAAAATCTCAGAGGAGAATCAAGGTTTTTAGTTTCTTGGTGAATCTATGCCACAAAGAATTAAAGCTGTTCTGAAGGCAAAAGCGGGTCCAATCAAGTACTAGCAATTTACACAATCAAGTGGCCAGTGAGTATAAATATGTAAATCTAAAATTACATCTGAAGAAATGTTTGTTGATATGTTTATTTATGCACCACAGTACTCTGACGACTCACGGAGACACACAGGGGACGCCTTAACAATCCTGGCATAACATCATAAGGTTAAGGGCTAATCCTAGTTATTTAATTGTGTTAATCAGTGCCGGTTTCTAATGCCCTTAATAAGCTAGCAGAGTTAAGAAACTGCAGCTAGACGTCAGTAATGCTAATAGAGAACAATTATGCTATGATGCCTTAATGTTTTTAAGTTAATATTGTATAATCAACTTTGTCATGATTTAATGAGGACTAGAAGAAGCCTTTGCATGCCACAGATGCCGCAGAGAATTGAAACGGGACAAACAAAATGCAAATATCTGTCACAAGAGTACTACCTAAAGTTGCTTGTGCACATAAAGAAAGTACGTTCTTGAAGTTGTTTAGCAGAAAGTCCCACTTTACCAAATGAAAGTTTGGAACTTGCTGCCACATCTTAGTTCCTGTATGGACTTTTTGTCTGTTTAGAGGCCTAACTCAATCATGTGTGAAAAGACTTGTAATTGACTTTGTGATTGCTAGATGATTTAAATCCTGCAAACAGAGCTCGCAGACTCACTCTGAAAGCACCTAAATTATAATTTGATGAAGGGCTATTATGGATTTATTGCTTAGAGACAACACATTCATTTAATATCCTATATGTCCTTTTCTTGTGTACTTTGCTATTACTTGATGTTTTATAACAAATCTGATTTGAGGTCACAGATTGGCCTTTTTGACCATTTAGTAGTCGCTTTATTGGAAACAGTTGTTGTAAAACTACATCAACAAATTAGACAGATGGAAGTAACTCTGAGTATATTTAACATGATATGTTAAGATAATAATGAGTTTAAGACTGTGACTAATAATATGTCTTATGTCAGCACCTATCCTTAGAAGCAGGATAGACTGAGGGACCCCATCAATGTGAGGTGAGATCATGCCGGCCAGTGCTAGCTGTAGAGCATTAACACCAGTAGGTCATGACATGACATTTAATGGTGGGGATGAAGCAAGCATGCATACACATTTTTTTCCCACCAAGTGAAGGCTCCTTGCCACCAATCAGCAGTGACACTTAGAGGGAATTAAGCCTCTGTGTCACACATGACTGTTTCTCATCTAAGTCGCATTTAAATCAGTTGGAGTCAGTGCACTGTGTCTATGTTAGTTCAAGCTCACACCAAATATCACTTTTATTGAGACACAAGTTGACTTTACTGCAGTCATAAAGTTCTTCATTTATGTTCAGTAACAGCAAAAATCAAAGTGTTTGTATTTTGGTGAGTGGCAAAATCTCCTGGAGATGTATTTATAAAAAGTAGTCTCTATGCACCTCTGCATTTTTCCAGGTAACTCATGGGTTTACCCATTCTCTTTAATGTGGTACCAGCGTAGAGCTCATTGAAGTTGAGCCAGATGTCTGATGCATGTCAACTCTTAGCATAATTCATATTTTTTTGAATTATTTGGTACAGTTATTCAGCATGCTTTTCAGAATTAAAGTAGGATTGTAAAAGAAATGTTCTTAAATGAAATTGATCAGCAAGTTAAACTGCATTGTTACACAACCAGTAAATTATGTAATGTGTGAAAACACCCAATGACACAACATCTCTCTAAAAGAAGTAGCCAAAGAACCGTAATACACCTCATTCTGTTACAGATAATACTGACAATGAAGGTAATTGCTTGTATAATAAAAAGTACAATAGGCACTCAAAAGACCTAGTCATCAGGAACTGATTATTCCTTCGTGAGTAAGACATCCTAACAATTTAACAAAAGTATAAACGTGGTAACGGACTACTTTTCTTTCTGAATAACATCCTGCTTGCTTTGGGATTTTTCAACAATGGCAAGCATTGTGACCTCCAAACCAGTGTTCCACCAAGTGGCAAATAAGCAGTGGCCTCGACATGATTAGAAATCACTAAAAAGACATTCACATTAAGTCTGTGTGAAAGTTGAAGCAAAAGCTTCCTCGTGACCTGTGACCTGCTTTTGTTCTTGGCTCATTTGATATCATCCACCTAATACGCTTAAACTAACAAAGGCGTCTGACACACACACAGAAAGAGGTTTTAGGATTTTTTTGTTCTAATCTAACAGTGAGATCCAAAAGAATAAAATAGTTAACTATACACGATTAGAAAGTAAGAATGATTTAGAAGTAACAAAAAACTGAGGCGTTATGACACCAAAGTTTGAGACTCCGGTGGATTTAACAAAAAGCAGAGAATAACACTGAGCACCTGATCGGAGTTGAAACGGGCTGTGCCATGTCCCACCCTGCCGGTCAGGGAACCAAACAATTCTGAGAAGAAGTAAGTCTGTCCTGCCACTGCAGTCTGTATTATGATAAGCTGCTTGAACACCATTGTCTCACATCACTTTCAAGTGGGGAAAAAGAAACAACGCTGTCTGATCTAATTTAAGGTTTTATAACTTTCATGTTGTTGGCAGAGACATGCTTTGAGCAAATTGGAAGTTTTTCTTATGTTATATAAACGCTTAAGTCAGGAGAAGGGAAAGACTGAGATGGAAAGCCTGAGGTGGTCATTATGCGACAATATGAGATTTGCATCTTGCTCTGTGCTATTTTTGTTAATTTCACCTCAACAAAATTTGAATAACCATTATTACATTTTTACTGTAGCAACAACAAGACACGGGAGGGAGATTACTGTAAAAAAAAAAAAATCATTTAAAAAATCACTACCCTGAGAATGCTTGATTTGAGCGTCTTTATTCTTGGATGACTTTTACTGCTCAACAACAACAAATCAGGAGTGTTTAGTGTTTGTAGACAATATTGTTAAGATGAATAATTGCTATTAGGTGGCTGATTTTACATGTTTTGTGAGGAAAAGAAAGAAGAAAGCACTGCAAAGATTGGAAAATTGTTTTGTGGTTACAAGGTGTTGTTCTGTGCTTTGAGATGATGAAACTCCTCAACAAGTGAAATCCAAGAGACGAAAAGTTTCAAACTAATACAGACAGAGATTATGGCCATGAACAGATCAACGGTGAAACTGCAGGGACAGCATATTCAGTAGAAGACAGAGATGATTCATTCATTCCCTCTGACAATTGGTTGTGCTCTTTTATTAAGAAAGAAAGGTCAAAATTTATTAAATACAGTATTCGTCATGCACACATGGAGTACGGTGTATAAGTCTTGAGCCCCAGTTCCTTTTCTTACATTTTGCTTCCAAGGACCCAGAGTTTTAGTATTCTTAAAGCTCTTGAGCATTAATCCTCCAGGCTTCCTGAAGGTCTTTCAAAGTTTTTCTTTGGACATTGTTGCTTTGTTTTACTCATTTTCAGTCCAGTCCTTGTACCTGACCATTTTCAGAGGAATGTTTTTTCTCTTTTGTTCATTAAGCCACTTAACACTGACCCGTGAATCATTCAAGTATAAAAAAGGAACCTAATGCAAAACATGAACCCGTGTTGTGTTTCTATTACATAGCTTAGCAAAGAGCTAATTTTGAATCTAGTAGAAGGCAATGGCAAAAACACATAATTTGTTCTTCTTTCGTTAGCTGAAGGTATACAAAGCTAAGTTTTGCTTTTTTTTTTTTTGCATTAACAAGGTGATTCCCAAAGGGCAGTTAGCTGAAAATGTATTCATGTGTCTGCCTGGTGCGCAGTGTGTCATTAAGAAAACTGGACAAGTGGCAGGCCTAAAACTCAAAGACTTGACACAGAACCTGAAAAGTTTCATTGAAGTTTCATCAGAAATGCTGAGATGAGGTTACACAAGAACAGGAACCAGGTTTTCTGGAGTAATAAATCCAAATTTGAAACTTTTGGTTCAAATTATTGTCAGAATACGCAGATGAGATCAGGGGAGAGAAAGGCTAGCTATAAAACACGGTGGAAGCTCTGTCATGGTTGCAACTGCATTTCAGTCAGTAGTGCTGGGGATCTTGTCAAAATTATGAACGCATAAAAGTACCATCAGATTTGGATCCACCATAAAATAACATCTGGAAAGTGTCTGATTTACCAAGGCTTTGTTTTTAAGCATGCCAAGGACCCCAAACACACTGCCAGTGCAATAAAAGCACACCTGGAGAGAAAAGCACTCAGTGGAACACTATCAGTCATGGATTGGTCTCCCAAGAACCCAGACCTTAATATTATTGAATCAGTGTGTGATCATCTCGACAGAGAATGGAATAAAAGGCAGGCAACATCCAAAGAAGAGCTTTGAATGGCCTTTTGTCTCATATACTCTGTTTCCATATTTAAAAAAGTGAAAGGGTACGTGCTGTACTGCACATCATTCTTGCAGGAAGAGGCTTGCTGGATTATTGGACTGCTCTAATTTAGTTATTTAGTTATTTCTGGTCTCCACACACAGACATGTCTGAAAGCGTACACAGAGAGAGCATGTGACTCCACAGCAGACACACTTACACACTCACTACATCTACAAAGAGGACATGGCAGTTTGTGTGTACCCTCAGACTGGTGCAGGGAGAGGTGCGAGGCTGTCTGGCTGCACAATCACTGCCTCCGTTCTCCTGTGTGTGTCCTTCCTCAGTTCTCTCCTCCATCCTCCACAAATGTATTTCTTCTTAGCAGAGGTCTCCCACGTATTGCAATTTCTTGGCACTGAGGCATGCAACCCTGCAAATGGATAATTCAAGCATGTGACCCACTTCTCATCCTCAGCACACAAAAAAACAGAAACATGTCTTTGGCGGCTGGCAGAGAGGAAACTAACTCATAATCCTAGAAACATAACAAAACATTAAAGACAAACAGGTTTCTGAATTTTGTTTTAGTAAGCTTAAAACTGAAATACCAAATAAAAGGTGATGACTTCTGGATTCTCAGAAGAAAAAAATACAGTTAGCTATATTAAACCACAATATGTTTTTATCTTTAAACGAAACATTCAAACATATCAAACTACACACCCTGCTGTATTATATGGGTAGTAACAGACCACAAGACAGAATACAATGAAGCATAAACTCAGCTATGAGGCATGTTAAGACTGTAATCTTATGTCTAAGAACTTCAGTGCACTGAAATGATATCATATCAGAGGTAATTTGATTTCCTAGAAGATAAACAGTTGCTCCTGGGGGCCAAAAATGCATTCTGTCGGTGTGGGAAGGTTTTCTATAAACTTGGAGAAAATGCGTCTGAAATAAGCTGAAAGAACAATGATGACTAATGATAGATGATGATAACCGCCACGTGCCCGCCACTAAACTGCTGATCCAGGTTTACTCCGGCTTGCCTCTACTGTCAGTAACCTGCCCATCAAGTGGCCACACTGTGGCCTGAGGAAAGTAAGTATTTGCCTTAATTTATCCACTGAGACTTTAAAGTACTTATACTAGATGATAGATGATATTAGAGCTTGACCAATGTTGGATTTATAAAACTGATGCTGATATTTGGTTTAAAAAATCCAATATTCTCTGTATTTACTCACTTACGTGTTGCCTAACTGCATTCGCATCTGCTGAAGGTATGTATTTAAACAGGGAAATTGCAGAGTTCTGTAGAGGACACACTATGCTGTGTCAACACAAGTAACACGGTTGAAGGGCGTTTGCCTCGTCCATTCTTCACTTTAAAAATTTCATTTCTAAACACCAATACAAATAGCCAATACTGGTGAATAAAGTGGTCAGGCTCTAACTGTTATTTATTAAAGTAGTTAGTTGTTATTTTGTATTTAATGCCACATAATCCAAAAGTTCAGAACTTAAAAGAAAAAAATTAAACGTCCCTGAGATCTCCTTTTAGATACATCAGAGCAGAGTCAACATGCTGCTGTTGAATACTTCACAGTACAATCCACACACTTAACCTCATCATTTTTAACAAGCATAGTAAAATACACACAGTACATGTACCGTTATCGCCAGTCTTGTTAGGGATTTTCCATAACAAACCTATCCAGGCACTGCTGGAGCGCCAGGTCATTGCGTGTAGTGTCGCGCAGAATAGAACTACACTGATATGAGCATCATCTGTGTGAGTAAAACCAAAAAACAGAATCGGTTTCCCATAATATACTCATGCTTGTGCTAACCATTCGGGTGTTTTATAGCTCTATGCAAAGATTTTTATGTCCCAGTTTTTACAATAAATCTAAAGACAGAGCCCTCTTTGTCTAAATCTGTTTTTTTCTTTTTATTTGTCTCATTTGTCTCACTGGCTGACGACAAATCAACACTTTGTGAAAACAGCTGATTCACTGTAAAAGCCCCACAGTGGTGGTGTTTTTTTTCTTAATAAGTCTATAACTTTTGACGGCAGCATTTTATAATGTTGTTCATTCTTGTACATTTTTATATGAAGCTGTGAGTGTAAATCAGGAATGAAAGGTGTTTTTAGATTCTGGTGAATCAAAAAAGAGTTTTTTAAAAAGCTGTCGTCTGCAGGCAATGCCTTGCATGGCAAACTAGAATACTATGGTTGTTCTTCGTGAGTATACTGAAAACAAAAAGGCAATTCTAAAGGTGGAGAAATAAAATAACGGATGCTGTGTTTATCCTTTCCTTTTAAATCTCTTTCACTGGTCCCTCTCTGACCCTTTTCTCTGCCCGTGTATGAATTCTTTATCTCTAGCTCCTCGCATTTGTCTTGCTTATTTCACGTTTTGCCTTCTCCTCCCTCCTCAGTCCATTTCAGCAGTCATGTGAAACAGTGAATGTAATTGCTCCAGGGAAGCGAGCTGACGATCGCTTTGCAGAAAATAACACAAACTCATTGCTCTTAGCATTTATGTCAGTGACACTGCTGTTATTACTATTACATGTAACACATTTACATTTCTCTCTGATTGGCTCTTTTATTTAGAACAGACTAAAATGAGCTGGCTTATTGCAACAGGTCTGACCTACTTTCAAGGAATTTGACCAACAGTAGATGACTGAGTTCATAAAACAGCGTCCCAAAAAAGATATACGTTAGTCAGCTGTAAGTACTCAGCTAAATAGCATTTAATCTGGCTTTATTGTGCCATATTTCATTAAATTACCTAAACAGAATCACTGCTGAAGGAGGATGACTTCAGCTTCTGAATCTCTGGGTTAATAGGCTGGCTTGTAAGTCAGCATTGAAAGAAATGTTCAAATCACATACAAATATAATTCTGATACAAACAAACTGAGCTTCTAGTGAGCTTCCACTATCCACTAGACCACTGAGAGGACTTTTGCACTTCGCATACCTGTATCATTCCCGAATATACACCTGTCTACACAAACGTTTCTTTCTTTTTAAATAAAACAATATACCATGTACCATATACACCCGACACAAGCTGTGACTGACTGAATGTGCTGCCCTCTCGCTCATCAAGCCTCATTCTTTATCTGCTCCTTATTAGCATGATAGACATATGTGTCCTCATCTTGTATTCTGCATGCAAAATCTCAGCGCAGAGCAGAAATCTAAACAGAAACGAACGACTCCTTCCAGTAATCAAAGGTGCAGCTTGAAGGCAGGCAACATCGTGGGAAATTAACAATAACAAATCTGATCATGCCTTTATGATATCCATGTCACCAGCTGGATGAGAATTGCGGTAAAGTGCATAGATGAATCACCACACTTACGGCATTTTGCTGCCTATGTAAAAATAGCACTTTGTACAGGTTAAACCGTGTACAGCTTAAGATTTCAGGTAATGAAAATATTAAATGTCTGGATTATTTGGATTTAGATGTTGTGTTGGTGTTAGGAAAAGTTTGGAAATGATGGTTAAATTTGGATTATATCTCCATCATATTTGCTATAGTTTGAACACAAATTAAAGCACCCACCAGTTACCCTGCACATCTGTTTCAACAATATCCTTATAACTGCTTAGGCAGTAAATCAGGAGGATCTACTCAAATTGAAAGCTTCTAGTACCTACAGGAGGGCTTAATGTCCCCAAGCGCTATTCCTGCAATTTACGAACGTCCTTTTTGAGACATTAGTTAAGGTGGCATTTTAAAGCATTTCATAACGCAAGCAGGTCAAACTTCATCAAAGGAACATCTTTTAGTGCATGAAAAACCTCTGGCAAGTTAAAACTCAGGATCCTGCTGTAAGGCTCCTTTGTCAGGATGCCATGCAGGTACTGCAGGTGCTTTGTGAGACACACACACACACACACACACACACATACACAATTCCCTGCACGTCTTATAGGTCACTACTGTTAACTAGTCCCGATCACTACAGGTTACATAAACTTCAATTTCTTTGATGAAACTCTAGGTTGATGTGTTTTAAAATGAATTGCTGGCATTTAGCGTGAGAATTTAATCGAATGCAGACATGTTAAAAGTCTGACTTGACTTAGCCCACAACAGCCTACAAAACAACAGCAACTGTTAAAAAACCCCAACTCACCTCAGTGTCCTGTGGAGCAGTGGTCGAGTTCCGACCGCGAGCTGCAGCCTGCAAAGTGAACAGCCTATCGGAAGCACTGGTAGACTCCCTTCAACCTGCTCCTGTCAAACTTCTCATGTGGACTGGTGATGAGCAGAAGCGCCGATTCTTACGGTGAATGCGCCGACACGAAGCCCACCTTCAGAGTTCATTTCCACCCACGGCAACTCTCGGGCACAGTGTTCCAAGTTACACAGGCGTTTTAGTCCCGTGACACAAGTCTTCACTGCGTGATGTGGGCTGTGTGTTAGTGAGATGCAGGGCGTAAGATGCGCTCAGAGAGGTCGCCCTACAACGGGTTTCCCCCCTTCCTCTTTTTCTTCGTCTTCGACTGACTGCAGACAGAGAGGCGTTGGTACGATGAGTCTACTCGGTGTCTTTCATAATATACTGCTCTCTCTCCTTCGCTTTCTCCTTTCTTTCATTCTGTCTCCTTTCCCCCTCTCTCCTCAGACAGTCTGTCCCCTCCTCCCTAATTTCTGCACAGTTCGGCGGAGCTTTATTGGAATCACGTAACCTACAGTGTCGTGCGTTTGTCAACAAGCTGTGAGCTGGTCATTCACCGGGTTCGTGTGAGAACATCACGCTTCTTCAATTTAAATATATGTTTTTCAAAGAATATTTGTCCTGAGCTTTGATTTGGTTTACAAAATTTGATAGTTGAGCCTCCGCTGTGTACATCCCCGCTCTTGGTCTCTGTGTAAGCCTTTTATAATGAACTGTATGTTTGTGTGCGCTCCTTTCATTAAAGTGACAGTATGTTTTTGCCGATTTGATCCTGTTTCTCTGCAGCTGTGCACAAAGAACAAATGTACCCATTGTCACGCCAGTGCAGATTCATAAAAGTCCCGTTTGGTTCTTCTCAACTGCTGAAATCTCGACTCTGTTCAAATTTAGAACAGGCTAGTGAAAGGATATATATATATATATATATATATTATATATATATATATATATATATATATATATATATATATATATATATATATATATATATATGAAGAAGCTACTGTTAAGCAAATTCTAATCAACCCAATACATCCACCTAGACACAAATATGAAATGCTGTCATCAAACTTTACTTTTTTCTTCTATTAGCAGAATAGTGTCCACATCATGTTGAGCCCAACAACGTGCCACTGCTGTCCCTGTGTGAAGTGTTTAGATCTTTATGCATGACAGCAGCATACACCTTAACCCCCTTGTCCTGGAGGACAGCTCAGTTTTACGTGGGTAAGTAGGAACAGGAGGTGACGGGTAGCAGATTTCCGTAGTGTTCGTGTAGCACCTGTCCTGCCAAGTTGTATCTGATTGCACTGGCGGTCACAACTGTCAGATGGTGCACATTACAAAAAGCATACAGACACGCTGGAGTGTCCTTGAATTTTCTCATTCAGTGTCTCATTCAATCTCTGTCTTCAGAACCTGCAGCTGTCTCATTAAAGTAGGTTAATGTACTGCAGACGAGGGCTCAACCTGTTGCATTAATACAATTGACTTGCAGGGTTTTGTGTGGCATCCTCATTCTCATTTAATCACTGATGCATAAAAATGAAGCCCTCACAGGTTAAAGAGTCACACTTGTATATTTTGATTGTTTAACACGACTTCTAAAAATGTTGGGATGCTGTGTAAAATGTAAATAACAACAGAATACAGAGATTTGCAGATTTCATAAACTCAACATATTATTTGTTTAAAGTGAGAAATGTTATGATTTTAACAAAAATACTTTGAATTTGATGACAGTAGCACTTCCCATAAAAGCTGGGACAGGGTTACTGAGTACTAACAACGGTCCGTAAACGTTTGGGAACTGAGGAGACCAGTTGGTTGAATTTTTGTGAGAGGATTGTTGTCCCAGTCTTCTCTACTTAATATTCCCGGATCTACTTTTTGGTCTTTTTCATTTCATGATGCAGGAAATGTTTTCAGTTGGGGAAAGGTCTCGACTGCAGGCAGATCAGCTCACATTCTTGATATAAGAGCAGTATCAACTTATGAAGTTTAAACATTTGCATTAAAATTAACTGATTAAAAAAGTTGCTGTTATCTAATGTACAGTAAGTAATCTATGGGCTTTACATATGCAGACACATGTTGCTAAGTTAGCTACGTAGAGCCTAAGAAATGTGTAATCAGCAGGTAACAAAAGTGTAGGAGTGTAAGTGTGTGCATGAGAGATGGAAATGGCTGTGACTGAAGTTAATTGCTTCAATTTCTGAGCAACACAGAAAAAAAGCATCCCTAAGCATGACTCAGAAACCACTGCAGTTTTGCTGCAGATTGTTATGAAGCATAATAAGAAATATCTGTAATCACTGAACTGCTTTCCTTCCTGGGTGTTAGGCTGCTTTTCTGTGCTGTTCCCTCTAGATCCGGGGGCGGGTCCTGTCCTAAATCTACATGAGTTTGCAATTTTAGCTGATCAGCTGATCAGGAATTTTATTCTAAAATGATACTGCTTCATTTTTTTGAGAAAACAGCCCCCAGTTGGCCTAAAGGGGTCTAAAGTACTTTGTGAAATAGTCAGAGATTTTCTTTTACACATCAGGTCATACACCCAAAACATGCTTAAATATCAGCAATCCCATTTTAACCACATAAAAATTGGGCTAATAGTGCAGAGATTTTAAAATCAAAAAATATATATACGTACCCATTATGTGGAATGAAACTTTTCAGAATCATAACAATTATATTTTTGGATCACATTTTTTAAGTTTGATTTTTTTGATGCAATTTATTGTATATATATTTTTGTATGTATATATTTGTATATATTTAATGCTTTTTTATTTATTCCTATCTTGATCTATGACAATGCAATTTATCCTTCACAATCCAACTTTCAAATGAATGTTAATGTAGAATGTACAATAAAAATCATTCCTTCTGGTTCTGTCCATGCTCTCATTTAATGGTGCTGTGATTGTAAGATAATACTCTAGTCCAGTGAGCACTGGCGCTACCTCATGCCCTCCTTCTGAAGATGCTATTCATAACCTGATTATTTCTGGTAATATTATGCCTCTCTTTCCTTTCAGGCCGTTTCTGATTACTTTAAAATGGAAGTTGTCCTTAGAAGGGTGCTCAATCCTTAATAATTCTGGCCAGTCTTAAAATTGTTCTTTCCAAGGTCCTAGACAAGCTATAGCAGAACAGTTGAAATAAAAGGTAAAAGAGAAATTTCAGTTGGGTATAAGGTTTGGGTCGGTTAATCGTTGGGCTTGCAAAGCATCTTGTTGGGAGATTTTTTATTCCTGTTTGCTTGTCGACAGCCTTTGACATCACTGATCACAGTGACTAAAGTCAAAATCTTAAACTGTGGGCATTTACGATTTGTTTTAGTTTTTCTATCTTCAATGCTTCAATCAATCTGTTTGGACATTTTGAGTTATAAATCAACACAAACACATCTACAAAATGGATCTGGAGTTGCATTCTTAGGCATTTTCTTTTTATCCAGTGCTTAACAGATGTCTAAAATTAAGAGTGTTGGAAATGATCAAAATCATGTTTTATGTGTCTGTAATAATCCACCAATATGCACAAGCCTCTTAATCAAATTAATATTTTTACTGTTGAAACATAATACTTTTTGTTATAACAGATAAGGCAAAACTTAAGCTCTTTATTTAAAGAACTTTATGTTTTGATATTTTGTCTAAAGGACTTTTAAGAACTTAAGGGCTCATTTAAAAAAATAAAAAAATGGCATCACTAGTAAGATTAAGGCCAGTTTCACGTGTTGTGTCCAGTAGGGTCCCCACGTTACTTAATTGTGCAAAGAAGAAAATATAATAACAGGTGTGCTAAACATTTTGCACACCTGTTAAGCTCAAAATTCAAGCTTTGTCCAAAATTGTCTTTTATGTTACATTTTCAACACTGACATTTAAAGGAAAGCACCTACAGCAATCCAGTTTTCTTTTTTTACTATCTAACGTTGTAATTTTACACAGTCCCCACAGTAACTGGAGTGAGGTTCCTTTATCGTCTCTGTGTCTTTACGAGAGCTTTATAATTACTTTGGAGGCTCTGTAAACTAAGGTGTTTTTGCATTTATCAGCTTGTGGTAAACACCCACTTATAATGAGAACCGAAAGGTCAAAATGCAGCAAAAGATTTCAGATTTAGTCCGTGTAGAAGTGATCATAGTGAGATAAATTAAAGATGACATAGGGAATGCGAACGGTCTGAACTGGCTTACTATGAACTAATGGTGGCGTGTGAGTGATGGTCCCTCCTTCTGATTCACTACACTTGATTCCTGGGCATAGTCATTATCCACAGGAGTCACAAAGTCGGATTTAAGAAGGTCAGGGATTATGGGAAGAAGGAACAAATGAAAGGGAATAAGTAGGGATTTTTGATAGGTGTGGAGATGGAGAGATGGTGGGAGGGAAGAAGAGATTATGAGAGAGGACAGAATGACCAGAACTGACTGAGAGTGAAAAGGGGGGGGGGAGGAAGTGATGGGGAAAAGAGCAAGCGTCTCCCTGGAGAGTGTACATGTATTCCTTGCAGAATACAGAATGAAAACTGAGAGAAAAATGTAGGGCACTGGCTTGTGCATAAACCATCTGACTGAAACGTAGCACATCATAAAGATCAAGGGCAAAACTTGTCCTATATTTTCAGTTCACAGAGCAAATGGTAGAAAAGATGTGCCATGATATTTAATACACTCACCAGTAAATTCCAAAGGCTGACATAAAATCAATCTGACAAAGACCACCTCAAGAGAAAGGCAGCTTTAGTGAAAACAAGATTAATAAACACATTTCAATCTGTACTAGAGAGGAGATGCAGCTGATTTATTTGACTGTCTACATCAGAATTAGTAAATACTAATAACTTTTAAAAAATTCCATTAATTTGACAAAAAGGTTTAGCATTATAGAATTATTCAGAGAGCTATATGTCTAAAGGACTTTTAAGAACGTAAGGACTGAGTTGGTACTCATTTAAAACAACAAAAACATGACATCACTAGTAAGATTAAACCCAGTTTCATGTGTTGTGAGCATCCAAGGTGTGTGCATCCAGTAGGGGGGCCCAGACTAGCCCCCATGCTACCCAAGCCTACCTCGAATATGAGCGAGAGTCATACAGTATAACTGAAGCCATACTGGCTCAGACGTTGACCACAGGGTAGTGAATAGGGTGAGTGACTCAGGATGGATCCTGGACTGACGTGTGCGATCTCTGTCCAGAACAGTGCAGAAGACATTTTGTTCCATATTGGCATGATGAAATCACACAGTTGGTGCAAACTTGCTGGCTGCACATCCACGATGTGAATCCTTTGTTCCACCATATCCCACAGTTGCTCTATTGGATTGAAATCTGGTGACC